ATCTTTCGCGGTGGTGCATGGTGAGAAAAGAATTTTTTGCTGATCTTAAAGGCACTTTTCATGTTGACCATATGGGCGGGGTCGCTTCGGCAACGGAGCTTATCCATTGGCGCCCCTCTACTCATAACCATTTCGGAAGGTGAGGTCCTTCAATGAGAATAGCGCAGTTGTTGAGACCGCTTCCTACGCTGATCGCACAGACTGCACCTATGCGATCAGCGGAGGAAGTGACTATAAGCCAGCGATTCGACGTTTTGCTTCGAAAAGTTCGAGTGAAGGCCGGAGTTCAGTCCGAGCAGGAAATTTGTCCTTAGCTTGCAAGCTCAGGACAAAGTTCCCGCTCGGATTGAATAATTGTTTGTGAAAGTGGTAGCAGATACAGCCTTGTTGGTCATGGAGGGGTGTCACGTGGATGGGTGTCGGCGGAAACAGATTTCCTTCTTTTTTCATAGGGCGAGCGGGAAGATAGTATCAAATCGTTCATATCGCCCGTTTTCCACCGACTGCTCTCGCTTACCTGCGTCAACAACTTGTTGAGAAAGCTGTAAGTGCGCCAAATCTAGCCTCACCGGCCCGCCTTACCATCTGCAGCGAACAAGACTGTAGCAGGTACGGCAGTCAGATCGAAGGATAGCTCAACAAATATGAGAACAGTTTGACTCATTTCCATTGTAGATGTTCTGATGAAGAAGTTCATCTGGATGAGGATATTCACGGTTTTCCTTTTCAGTACCACAAAAGCTGCTGCAAAACCTACTGCTCCAGAAGCATCCATCAAAGCCACCTAGACCAATGAAAATGCAAGGTAATCTTTGGAGGCTGAATTATCTTTCAGTGCTAAAAGGACTTGTGGGAAGCGGGGCGACGGTCAAAGCTGCTCCTTTGCACCACGACACCTAGAAAACGGCTCCTTGGCCCAACAAGCTTTGCCTTTAGGAATGCAAACCACCAGGAAGGCCAGCACCCAGTTTAGCCGTGTGACCCTTCCGTTCCCCCTTTCCACCAAGTCCCTTAGCACCAAAATTTCTATAATATTTCAGGCAGGAGAATTATCAAAAATCTTGTCAATTGAAAAACGATCATCTTGGTTTCACCTTTTCTCTTACAGGTCCTCATCAAAATTCGGCTAAATCTGCTCCAAAACCCGTGAATCCCGTGAAATCCTCGACGAAAGCCGTTCCTAAGAAAACGGGCCCACCTCAGACGGATGTGCCCAAGAAACCTGCGCCTGATGCTGAAGAGCCAAAAGAAGCACCACAAGTCCAGGAACAAGAAGAGAAGCAACCACAGCCACCAGCTAGGCCAAAATTGGTGAAACAACCTTCAAAGGCTACTTCCAAAAAGCCTCCAGTGATGCCCGTTGTTCAACAGAGTGAACCAGCTCCCGCTCCACTGAAAGGAAGAAGCGAATAACGCTGATCGTGAGCGCCTACCCGTTCCAAAGGTAATCGATTACTCTTGCAGCTGTATAACTGGTTATGTAAAATTTCGAATTGCTGGGGCGTGTGTGAGCAACTGTTTGGAGACTGGCGCATCAGTGACGCTTTCACGGCGGAGGAATTGGTGGAATTCTTGTTCACCGACGCGGATGCTGGAGCGCGCCAAGGGGGGATGGGGACGGCGGCTCTGGTGCCGCAACGGCCTTATGCACGATTCTTTCGAGATTGTTGTACCAACCATCCTCTTCAAAATAAAAGATGAACGAGCAGGCGCCGTGCCAATCCCAGCTCCCACCACCCTGACATCTACGATCCCAAACTCGCGTGAGAAAACGACTGTATTCACACTCGCCACACATGCGACGACGCCAGTTTCCAGCGCCCCGACGAACGAACGTTTCAGCTTCTCGCGCGTAGTCAGATCTTCTGGCCAACAAAAGCTAAGAAACTTTGCTACTTTAGGTTTCTTCGAGAAGTCCAGTAGCAAACAAGTGCAGTTGACTCGGCTGCCGACAACAATTTGAATATTGTAAAAACCCTGAACAGGTAAGGTTTTGACTGCGCACGGGGTCCTTTTGTGATTTTGACTGAAACAGATTATCGCGTCGATCAAGTACAGCTCGAAAACAGCCCAAGGCGTGGAATGAAACCCAAATCGTGGAAGTTAGACTAGGGGAGCCGAGCATATCGAATGAGGTGATGACCAACAGGCAGGCACATCATTGGTTGGGGATTTTTTCGAGTCTGTACAGCCCCTCCCCCTTTTTTGGTAAAACATACGACTCCCTCATTGGTGGATCCCCAAACAACGAGTGCACGTGCACACACAGCCGTGCGATACGCTTTTCCAAATTACTCATCCAGTAAACCAGTGAGTTCGTGCCACTCTTCAGCCTTTAACGCTGACTTCTGAGCTGCTGCTTCTAATACATGACGCCTCCTAATGATGAACTAGGGAACATGTATAGATCAGTGGCTCGGCCCAGTTTTGCCAACTGAAACGCAAGCCACGACATTGGCAAAACGATCTATAGACCCATGTCGGAACTGGGGAGCATTTTCTATGGCGAAATAGCCAGAACCGCCGTCGTGTCTTCTGAACTCTAGCCGGAAAACAAGCCAGGCAGGCGTCCTGTCTCAGTTGCAATCCATATCCTCCGCTGTGATCAAACTTTCCTCCTCCAAGGGCGATTTGTTGCACCAGAGCCCTGGGGCCCGAAATGCACAGTGGAAATAATATCACTACGGGACCTATTCAGGTGGTGTCGGTCAATCACGAGCATTTTTTCCTTATTCGATTTCACATTATTTTTTCACGATGTTTATCCTGAGGAAGTTTTTTAAGCTGCCACTACTACCCCTCAGCCAAAAAGCTGAGAACAAGGGAGAGAAGCCAACCAGCGGAAAGACTTCGGTCAAGCCGAGTGTGAAGTCGACTACTGTTGCGAGCAAAACGAATGCGAAAAATCCCGTACCTGTTAAAAGTGAGTTCCTATGAAACTTTCTGTAATAGTGGAGAAGTGAAATGGGAATCAAGTGTAGAAAATGCGTATAGTTAACGACTCTGCTTCGTTTCTTCGTTCCATTTTAATTTTGAAGATTACCATTTACGTCCGGCAAAGTCCTTTCCAGCCCTCTCCCAGCCTAGCTTTCAACTTTCTCCCCAGGACAGTTCTTATCGGAGGGGATAAGGGCGTTTCAGGGACTGTAGCCGCCGCTGCTTAGTCTTCAATGGTTGAGGGATCTTACGTTTTTCCACTAGCGTTGCTACCGCCTCTGTTCATTTTGACAGCTGCACAACGACCCCCCCCCACTGCCCCGCCCCTACGAACAGCTCTTCTGGCAACTTCCTTGCATTTGCAGGCAGCAGCCCCGTGGGGTCGCATCCACTATCTTGAGCGTCAACTTGCCATCGTACATTGTGAAGTGTTTGACCCTAATGAGCTTTGCTCTCTTTGCGACTTTCCGGAGTATTCATTTTCTGAATAAATTTTATTTAATTCAAATACTTATTGTCTATATTTAGGACCGGCACCGCCTACGAAAACGTCTAAAACGGGTGATCTAATAATCCGCAGAAGCGCTGCAGTAGCCGAAAAGCCTGTTCTTACGATTACTCGCAGACCTTGACAGACAAGCCTACGCTCCTGCTCTTCCAACAACGTCTTCTCGGGCGGCTTTATTAATGTTGATTTTTAATAGCAATAAATAAACAATTGCTTACTGTTAGCGTTGAAGAAATTTGCTCAGTTGCACTCCGCAGGAGCAGGACTCCCTGCTGTTTTCATCCTATTCCCGGTCTTTCAAGTGCGGCTTTGCCGAACCGTTGACTCTTCTGCCCCCGATTTTAGTTCGCAGCGCGCATCGCAGGTCCGATGTTCTTGTAAGACCTCGTCACTGTGTCCAGATCCATATCATCTTCTAGCGGTAGTGTTCACTCAAAGCGGGGTCATCTTGATGACGCGCTCCATCTCTCATTGGGCTCGTCGTGGTCGCTTGCGTAAAACTCGACGTTTTCTTCAACCACCAGTTTTCACAGCATATTCAGGCGCTGTTCAGCTTGGGGGGACCCATGGAACCACTTGAAACCGCTCTGACTGATTGCGACGATATCAACTGAATGTATCTGAACTACAACCAGGCACCGCTATCCTCAACTTCGCAATGACCCGCCCATTCGGAAACAATCACAGGAGGCTCTGAAAGTTGACCTGAACATTGACCAGGCCACTTTTTCAGTCGAATTTTTCCCAGTGTTTTACTTTGAAAGGAAATGGGAAGTGAGTTTGAAAGGAAATGGGGAGTGAGCCTGACTGGCTCACGAGTTAACAAGATAATACGTCCCGGATCATGAAACAATAGCCATAATATTTAATAGCAATGTTTTAATTTGATTACTGAAGTTTAGTGACGCAGTTCGCGCCTTGAAAGTTGATATGATTGTAAAGTTATGAGCAAAAATAGTGCCTGCCAGGAATCGAACGCTGGCACTCTCAGCTCAGAGACAGTCACCGCGCTATACCATGTCATCCTCTCTTGATACAGTAGTCTGGCCCTCACTGGTCCATTTTTGCAGCTCCACAGCAAGTAACGAAGGCACTGCGGCACTCATATATAAGTGGCAGTTCTAAACGAAACGGCTCCTAGTTGTGGGGCCTCAAAAACCAGTAGGCTCTTTTTCACGCATAAGTTTCAGTTTACACCGTGTTTTTTGCTTTTGCTTTTTCCGCTGTTAGATGGTCTTAGCATTGGATGATGCGAAAAAAGTGTTAGTGAGCTCGAAGCGGCAGGACTATGCTTGTGGCTGGTATGACGCACGTAAGAAGTGTGCTGCATACAGCGGGGCTCATATTGGGTTGTTACCTAGAATGTTTTTCAGGTTTTTTTTGGTTTTTTTCCTGGACACTTGGTGACTATAGGATTGTAACTGGCGCCACCGTCCACGAGATGCATTCGCAAGGGTTAAAGGTTTAGCCGTGCATTCCAATAAGTTTTCGCAATCTATCGATGAAGGTTGCATTGTATTGCCCCAGCGTGTTGGAGTCAGGAGCTGAGCAACATTCTTGTTCAGTCCAGATCTCGGAGCAAGCCCTCGACCTGCTCTTGCCCCAGAATACGGTTAATCACTAAAAAAGCTGTCTATGAGGATAAGACCTTGAACATCACATCGAATGGCTCCGGCAGTCATTGTATAGGCCGAATCTCACAGTGGTGAAAAGGTTCCGAGTGGAAGATAGGAAGCGTGGCCCATCTCGGAGATTGACTGATGGTGAAAGCTTAATATCCTTCCAAACATCAGTAATTACTGAACAGTTGCGAAATATCTCAGCTCCCTCACTCAGCAATATAGTAACGAGCAATGTACCTCAAAGTAAGGCGCTGCGATTACTAAGCAAATTACCTCGTAATCGGACACCCTCTACTTCGACAGGAAAATAGTAAAATGAATAATCGAAATTGAAATGTCAACGGTAAAACGATACAGTATGACACACGTCACGAGACCCTATTTAATTATGATAAAAAAATAAACAGACAACTATGCCGTGGTTAATTAAGAGCTAGGCACGGTAAAGAAATAATGGAATTCCCTATTGCTGGGTGTATAAGGCGCACCCATGTATAGAGCGTACTTTCGCTTCGAACGCTGCTGCTGTCCCTTTCACACCTTATTTTTGCATGATTTTATTTGTTTTTATCTCTATTGATGATCTAAAATCGATAAAAGGTTTTGAAGACCAAGTGGAAGAATAATTGCGCAAAAAAGACGGGAAAACTACTGCCGTGTCTACCAACTCTTCGCGGAGGTCACAAGTTGGCTTCCCTTACTTCCATTCATAATTACAGCAGCATTCTGAATGTGATATGGTCTATTAGGGGTGGAGGTGGTGTAGTGGCAAGTGACACGCTTACCACGCGCGCGGTCCTGGGGTCAAATTCTGGATAGTCCTGTCCAGGCCGACAAGCCCTCTATCCTCCAGGGATGGTGAACTGGTAGCAGATTAATCATGTAACGTATACAATGACTGATGGGAGGAGGTAGCTGATGTACACGACTGTGACCTCCCCCACCCCCTGAGGCGAAACCTGGTTGTAATTCACCGTCCCCGGATGGTAGAAGGCTTGATCAGCTTGAGCGGGG